GTTCCCATAGAATATTTACCAACCAGATATTTGGATTCTTTCTAGTAAACTACTCTGTAAAGCGAGAAATTTTTAGTTATGACGAAAACATGAATAATACACCACGTTTTTTATGTAAGTAGTGAAAAATTTAAAGTTTTAAGTTATTAACCTTTTAATACATATATCTCATCATTTATATAAAAACACGTGATATATCATTTCGTGTGATGGTCACACTGAAAAATCTTTCAGGTAAAGCAGCCCCACACGTAGCGGTTGACCCACGAAACCTCACAAACTCCCCTTTACACATTCAAAGCCACATTAAAGTTTATAAAGCTCCGGCGGTTTGATGCAAACATAAACCTCAATGACGTATTTCGTTAAAAAAAAAAAAAAAATATATATATATATTATATAATTATTTTTTTTTGTAAAGAATACAATTATAATATAACAAAACCAACAAAGCAATCAAATGGAAAAAGAATGAGAGAACCAAAAACAGGCGGAGAAGTAATTGCCAACGTTTGACTGCTTCTCCTGCATTCCACCATTTTCTTTCAATGGTGTAAGAACAACAACTAGAAGGGGGAGATATTATCATTACATTAATAACTAATTAGCAGCCTAGTCAAAGCAGACTGACGCTGACCCTTTTGATACCTCTTCACCTAAATCCAAACTGCAAACTTCCAAGCCTTCTTGCCATTCACTATTTACCCATTCAAGACGGCCAAGAAATCAACATTTCAAGTCGATTTCAATACTTTTTCCTTGTATCTTCTCTGTGTTCCCATTCGTTTATATATTTCAACCATTCGAACCGTCTGTAGGGTCACAAATCTCTCTCTTGGGTGTATCTTTATTAATTTGCTCTGTTTCTTTGCAGTGGGGAGAGAGGAAGAATATGGAGGAGAAGAGAGGTTTTAGAGAACTTGTGATGGAGATTAAAGCATTGGTGATTGAGGTGAGTTCTTTAGCTCAAAACTCAGAAACCCAAAGAGAAGTGGTGACTGAATTTGTAATCTTGGTTGGGAAATTAGCTCCAATTCTTGATGGATTAATGGAGAATACCAAGTTTTTTAATCACCAACCAGTCAGAAAAGCTGTTGAGTCTCTTGGGTCAGAGCTCAAGAGAGCCAAGGCTTTGCTGAAAACCCAAGAGACAAAATCATTTGTTAGACAAGTTGAGGATGTAGTTCATGATCTTGGGAGATCATTAGGGTTAGTACTCTTGGCAAGTCTAGAAGTGTCTGCAGATTTGAAGCACAAGATTGGGGGCTTACACAAGGATTTGATAAGTACACGGTTCGATGTGAGTTCGTTTGCGAGCACTAGTTATGGTTCTGGTCTTGTTAGTGAGTTGGAAATGGAAGTGGAAGTGGAAGAGGAAATACAGGAGGAGAAAAGGGTTTCTTTTGGTATTGATGATGTTTCTTTGCAAATTAAGTATGGTGATGATGAACAGCTTAAATTTGCACTTTTGGAATTGAATGATTTGATTGGAGACAAAAGGGTTGGAGATGAATGGATTACTAATGAAGGTGTTATTCCGATTCTGTTTAATCGGTTGAGTTCGAGTGATTCAGATAATCGGCTATGTATTATTCGATTGTTAAGCAGCCTTGCTTCAGATAATGCTCATAATAAGGTAATTTTCTTCTTTTTGTGTTCACATCAATCTTGATTTTAAATTTATGATTTCCATGTGAATTTGTTATCTCACTTTATAAAGTAGTGTGCAGGAGAAAATGGCAGACGTTGGTTTTTTATCTGCGATCGTGAAATCATTGGTACGAGATGAAGAAGAAAGGAAAGAAGCTGTGGGGTTGTTGCTGTATCTCTCGGATCTTCAGTCAGTCAGGCGCCGGCTTGGGCGGATTCAAGGGTGTATAGTTATGTTGGTTGCCTTGTTAAATGGGGATGATTGTGTCGCTTCACATAACGCAGGGAAGTTGTTGAATGCATTGTCTAGCAATACTCAGAATGCGCTTCATATGGCAGAGGCCGGTTACTTTGAGCCACTAGTGCAGTACCTAAAAGAAGGTGATGCAAAGCTTCCTCTCACTTTTGCAGCTCCTTTTGTTTTGATGATTATCTAACCACAGGGCAGTAGAATCTAAAACTGTAACCCTGAAAAACTGATTATTTGTGTAATTTGCTTGAATCTGTGGTTTATAGCTGAGCGAAATTAGTTTTTTTTTTTGTTTTTCATATGCTTAATTTCAATCAGGGTATTAGCCAAACGATAATCACAGTTCACCTCGAATTTGGATTTGACCTCCCGTTTATGGTCTTAGCGTTCAAGCTGAACCGGCAAATTGAGTAGGATACAATTTCCTTGTAATACATCTTACAGTGATACAGCTGAGGCATTCAGCACATAAATGTGTCTTTGTATAGATCAACTTTGTTTTGTCAATGAACATTACAGAGATCATGGTCTTTTAACCTCCATTTTCTTGTTGGTAAGGTTTAACCTCCATCATCCTGCAAATTCCGGGGCACTTAACAAACTATCCATATCATGTCTTTGCAGGTTCGGACATGAGTAAGATCCTGATGGCAACAGCACTCTCAAGGATGGAGCTCACAGATCAAAGTAGAGCTTCCCTCGGGGAAAATGGTGCGATTGAACCCCTTGTCAGAATGTTTAGTGTAGGCAAGCTCGAAGCCAAATTATCTGCTTTAAGTGCCTTGCAAAATCTGTCAAACCTGACAGAAAATATCCAGCGCTTGATCAGTTCAGGCATCGTAGCATCCTTGCTTCAGCTCCTTTTTTCTGTGACATCAGTACTGATGACTCTTCGGGAGCCTGCATCAGCAATTCTTGCAAGGATTGCTCAATCAGAATCTATTCTTGTGAACTCAAATGTCACTCAGCAGATGCTCTCACTTTTAAATCTCACCAGTCCGGTAATTCAAAATCACCTATTACAAGCACTTAATAGCATTGCCTCTCATTCCAGAGCAGGAAAAGTTAGAAGAAGGATGAAAGAAAATGGTGCCGTTCAGCTTCTCCTACCCTTCCTGATGGAAACTAACATTCAAATCAGGCGCAGTGCCTTGAATTTGTTTTACACTCTTTCAAAAGATTTAACAGAAGAGTTGACAGACCAACTAGGAGAAACCTATATCAGAAGAATCATCAATATCATCTCAACATCAACATCTGACAGTGAAAAAGCTGCTGCAGTTGGCATACTTAGCCATCTTCCCATTAGTGACAAGAAGGTGACGGAGTTATTAAAGAGAGAGAATTTGGTACCGATTATGGTATCCATAATGAATCCAAGATCCGAAATTGTAGCACAGGAGACATGCTGGTTAGCAGAAAGCATTACAGGTCTATTGATTCGGTTCACAAGTCCTTCTGATAAGAAATTACAACTGTATTCAGCAGAACAAGGTGTAATTCCTTTGCTTGTAAAGTTACTCTCGAGTGGATCGCCTGTTGCTAAATGCAGGGCTGCAACGTCACTAGCTCAATTTTCACAGAATTCATCATCTCTAAGGAAGTCGAGGAAATCAAGGTGGTTGTGCGTTCCTCCTTCTCAAGATGCTGTTTGTGAAGTTCATGATGGAAAATGCTTTGTGAAAAGCACATTTTGTTTGGTCAAGGCAGGTGCTATCCCTCCTATAATCCAAATATTGGAAGGTGGTGAGAGGGAAGCGGATGAAGCCGCACTGAGTGTCCTTGCAACCCTCTTGCACGACGACATTTGGGAAAACGGAAGCAATTACATAGCCAAAAAGTCAGGAATTCAGCCCATCATAAAAGTCCTCGAATCCGGGAGCATCAAGGCTCAAGAGAAAGCACTGTGGATATTGGAGAAGATATTCGCAGTTGAGGAACACCGAGTGACATACGCGGAGTCTGCTCAGGTAGTGCTGATTGATCTAGCGCAGCATGGTGACTCCAGATTGAAATCAACCACTGCAAAATTACTGGCGCAACTAGAGTTATTGCAAGCTCAATCTAGTTACTTTTAAGGCAATAGTGCCATATTGATGTAATGAAGGTTGTGTTTGTGATTTTACTTATACATAGACATCATACATCAATTTTCTCGAGTATCTACAAACGATTAGTGGCGACACAAATTTGACTGTTGAATTTGATTCAACTGTCATTAGTTACTCAGTTAAAGTCATTAGATCTATTTTAATGGTCAAATATATGTCAGCGCTAAATGTTTGTAGATACTCAAGAAAATTTGATCAAATACTTTTTAATTGGTATACATCTTCCTGTTGTGCTCATTATGTTGAATTCTGTTGATATGAGCCATACATACCCAAAATTATAACATGAAATGAATGTGAGAATGCAAGCAATCATGCCTTCATCTCCTGATGGAAATTCTCTCCAAGGCCGGTCCAGTGTGTTGGGGCATATGGATATGGACATATCCAGCCCATTGAGAGATGGGTGTAATGGGTTCTAGTAGAAAAATAAAATTAAAAAATTAAAAAAATCCCATACCCATTTGATCCCATCCCTACTTTCCAACATATCTTACTTTGAAGCCTATCATGCTATCCAAGTAACAAAATGCATTAGCCATGCTAAATCCCTTCCTCACAATATATGAATGCCTTCTAGTTCAATGCTAATTCCATTTTCCCTATCCATATAAAATTATACAGAATAGTATGACTAGTTTATAAGACTAAGCTAGTTCTATAAACATGGGACAAATTATATTGTTGTTAATTGATTGCTTTTACGTTTTAGCACAATGAGTTAAGATATTGGAGTATGCTAAAATGTTATCGTTCTGAACAAAGGCAAAGTTATAGAGACACAAGGAAAGGCGGCCGCCCTTACTCTAGCCAGAAAAGAAACAGGAATGACTAGCCACCCCTCTAGTCGGTTGGAAAACGTGCAAGGACTACTTTGTATTTTTTTTCTAGGAAATTAGCAGGACTACTTGTTTTCTCCAAGCCAAGACAACGTCATTTGGATTTGGTGATAAAAAATCATAACTAGGACATAGTCGTTTCAGAAAAAAGGTTTTAGGCATTTAATGAAAAAAAAAATAAAAAAAAGACAATTATCCTTCATATTTGTTTTACTGGTTGCCCAATTCCCAGACCCACAAATGAGAGAGCACCAACTCTATTTTCCTCTCTTCAAACCCTCCAAATCCACACTAAATCAAAGCCACCATGGAGCTGTCCAGCAGCTGGGTGAGACCACCGCTTCAACGCCACCCATGAACCAATTGTTCGTTGAGATGGGCATCGACTACGACCAACACCGCAACATGGGTCAGCTCCTTTTTACCCATTTAACTCTCCTTCCGCTTGTTTTTGCCTTGATTAATGATTGCCCATTTGAGAATTTCATCCGTTAAGTATCAAAATTGTAGACTTGTTTAGTTTGGTCATTTTGAAGTGTTAAAAATTTGAGCTTTCTTGATTTGGCAATTTGGAATTATAGAAATTTGAGGTTTTTGTTGAAGAAAGTGGTTTGTTCTGAAGTTTGATGAAACTGTGTGGTATGACTGTGACAGGCAGGACATTACTTACAGTTCAGCGTTTCGAAGAGGTAATATGAATCTATGATCCTATGCCTTTCTAGAAATTAGTGGTAGGAAAGTTATATTGTTAGCATACTCACTGCGGATTTTCGGTTATTATATGTGTTGTTATTGAATTTTAGTTTTGATAAATTGGAATTGGTGTAATAGGAATCCTTATATGATAACCTGCTGTTACATTCGAGCATATGAAGCTAGAGATCGAGCTAGAAGGGCCTCGTTTATTCCAAATGTGGCTGGATATCAAGAAGGTAAAATCAGTCTTTCCTTAAGTATATGCGCTTTTTGAATATTAATTCATGAATTATCTAAAACATATCTTGTTAAAGTCCCACATCCGGGTTCAAAGAAATCCAATGGGTTTAAATAGGATTAGCCTACTTTAACTAATATCGAGACCTTTTGTGGTAAAACCCCACACTTGACGGATTTGGCAGGTGTTAAAGTTGAAAACAGTATCGGTGTCGTTAGAATGAGACGGGCATGGCGATCTAAAAATCCAACATATCTTACCCTTTCAAAATATATACGTTTGCCACTAGTTATGAGGCCTAGGGAGATGCAAAAACATGACACTACTTATCAGATTATTGCCTACCTGCTATACTCTCTTCAAAATATAGTAAGCAACATTTTCTGTTGGTAGTAACATGGGGTGATATTTTCCATTACCTTTTCATGTATGAATTTGTGGAGAAACTGTTTCTTTTAAGCTTAGCTCAATTCATTGTGAAGAAACAATCTAAACTTTAACTTGTCAGTTATCAGATGTTTAACTACCTGCTATTCTTTTTCCAAATCCGCAAAAAAACTACAAACCAAACCAAATTATTGGATCCGACTATCTTAAAAGGCTATTGGTTAAGCTTGCATGTTTCCGAAGGAATGATATATAAATCCAAACTCAACAGCATTGTTTCTTCGTCACGAAGCAATGAGATTACAAGTGATTTTTTTTTTTTTTTTTTTACATTTTTTCAATGATAATTCTCGAGACTGAATCACTGAATCCGCAATGTAAGAGTCGAGCGACATTTTATCCAAGTCAAGAGATCCCATATATTGGATTTTGGGACGGAAAAGTGATTGATACTTTGCGTAGAGAAAGAAGAGAAAATGTGAAAATGAAAATTGAAATCTGAAATTGATTTTATGCCGTCCTGATTTTAAACTCTGTTTTTTTTTTATTTTTCTCTCTTTGAATATCAGTTTTCTTCTGAAAAAAATAAAAACAATTATTGTTGTAATTAATATTTATTATGTGGCTGTTCACTTTAGAGTCAATATGTAATATGTAATTAGTTAGGACATTTTTTATGTAAATCCTACACTTATAAATAGGCACTCGAATGGGAACAAAAATACATTTTGATTTCTCCTCCCCATCTCTTTCGTTTCTCTCTATATTTCCTTGTTCTCTAAAATATTACCGAAAACGAAATGATTATCAAACTAGTTCAAGTCTTTGCCGCTAGTCTACAGTATAGTGGCATTCTTCTAGCATTTTCAATATAGAGATGCAAATTTGCGATGTAAAGGTTACATTTATATCTTATTTTGCATTTTTAGAATGTGTAAATATGAGTTTTAATGGAGAAATGAAAATTTGAGATTCTAGGTACTTTTCTCTCATATAGAGGGGTCCATCTCCTGAAGGTGTAAAAAAATTTACATTTTTACATTTTTCAATTAAAATGAGTGTTGCACAAGACTTTCCTACCATTGAAAATGAAAATGCTCATTCCAAGATATTTTGCTATTGTTTAGAGATGCTCTTAGTCGTTAGCTCACATCTCATAGTGTCTCGACGCAAACCCCCTTCTCCTATAGAAAGAACTAGGAGAATGTCACAAGTGATGCATGTGCAGTGAGTCAATAAAATGAGTTATTTGTAAGTGAGTCATATTACTAAATTAGCCCTAGTCTTGTTTTGGATGGGTGAGAATTAAGAATGAATATTTTGGGGAATCTCCAAGAGAGGAAAAGTGGGATGTTGTATTTCCAGGATTGGATTTCACATTCGAATGAACCTCATAATCTTAAGAAAGTAGGTTTTTAACAACACTAAAAATTGTAGGGAAGGTGTTTGATATTGTTAAAAGAAGGACAGAAGGGCCCAAGTTGCTTTTGAGTTGCATCTGCAACTCTCCAGATGTGTTGAGTTGCAGCCGCCACTTTAGTTGCTTGTAACTAGTACAAATCAATCAATCTATCTTGTAACTTGCATCTAGGGCTAGCTGTTTTATCTATTGGTTCCTTCAGTGGTATGTTGCCCTAGTTTGTCCAAAGGCTTTCAGCCTTGCTCGGTCTCTCTATAAGAGCCCCCACTTGTAAATCAAACATATGATGAAATACATACCAAAAGTTTAAGCAAGAATTCAATATGGTATCAGAGCATGAACCTTAATCGACCTGCCTCTGATTGATTCACCATTGTTATTCTTTCTTCTGTTTTTTTTTTTTTTTTTTTTAAATTATGGCAGAAGACAATCCGGTTATTTCAAAGGCTACCAGTTCCTCTACTTCATCTCTCAGCGTAGTTCATGGTGAAATCATTCCAAATCAAAAGTTGTGCTCAGTTTTGCTAAATGAATTCAACTACCTTCCTTGGTCTCGGGCTGTGACTCTTGCCCTAGGAAGAAGATCGAAGTTGGGATACATCATTGGTAACATTGAACCTCCTGCATCTACCTCTCCTACGTACGATGCATGGCTGTGTAATGATCAATTGGTCATGTCTTGGGTTCTCAACTCCATGGAGCCCAAGTTATCTGAGCTTTTTAGGTACTCATAATCTTCACATCTTCTTTGGGAAGCCATCAAAGAGATGTATGGAAGCCTAAACAACGCTACTCGAGTTTTCCAACTAAAAAAAAACCTTGCTAGTCTGAAGCAAGGTGATCAAGCCTTTGTTCAACACCTTGGGAGCTTAAAGACTATGTGGAATGAACTTGATCTGTATCGTCCACATACTACTGATTCCACTGTACTCTCGAAGAGAGCTGATGAAGACAAGGTTTTCCAACTCCTAGCTAGTTTGGGATCTGAATATGAAAACCTTCGCAGCCATCTCCTAATGACTCCTGAGCTTCATTCCTTTATGAGTGTGTGCTATGCTGTCCAACGAGAAGAAACTCATAGGAAAGTGATGGAAGTTGATATCAAGCATAACTCAAAGGCTAGAGCTTTCTCTGTCAACCACAAGCCTAGAGACAAGCAGCAGTTCAAAGGAAAAAGATCAGAATGGCGTGAATGGAAGTGCACCTACTGCAATGGAAGTGGGCATGTGAGAGAAAAGTGTTGGATTTTACACCCAGAATTGAGACCAAAGTTTGAGAAAGAGAACAAGTTCTCAAGAGACGCCAAGGGTCCCTCAACACCCAAAGTATACCATGCAACCAGCACACCAACTGATGGACTGGTAAACTTCACCTCAAATCCAGCTGCCTTGATTAATGAGTTTGCTGCTTATATCCAAAGAAGAGAGTAAGTTTTGAGAGTGAAGACAAAGCAACTAAGAATCCCACAACTTTACTTGGCCAATTCGCCAATTTTTTGGTAGATTCAGAAAGTGTGCAGAAAGGATATCCCAGGTATTATAAGTGCTCTCTCAACAGCTCTTAATGTAAATACTTTTCATGATTGTTGGATTATAGACTTTGATGCCATTGACCAAATGACCTGTAAATCTTCTAGCTTGCATGATTTTAAGCCTTTACAAGAAGCTAGACATGTGTCTATAGCCAATGGTAAGGGGAAGCGTGTCTTAGGCAAAGTGAAAATCAGTTTAATGGGTGATAGGGTGGAGTCAATTGCACTTTTTGTTCCTTTTTTCCCTTTCCAACTTCTGTCAGTTGGAAGAATCACAAATACCCTAGATTGCCTTGCAATTTTCTCCCCTCACAATGTTGTTTTTCAAGATCGAGGCACCAAGAAGAAGATTGGTGAAGTGTTCTACTTGAATGGTTTGTACTATCTATCAAAGGATGTCAATGTTGTCCAAGAGTCTATTGTCAGCTTAAGCATCGCACAAGAACACCAACTTTGGCATCAACGTTTAGCTCACCCCTCATAACCAATATTGTATGTTTTGTTTCCAAATATTTGTAAGGATTCCCATGATTGTGAAACATGTCAACTCTCAAAAGCCACTAGGCTTCCTTTTGTAATATCCAAGTCTAGAATTTGCAAGTTATTTGAAATAGTTCATTCTTATGTATAGGGTCCTTCTAGGATTGAATTAGTTGAGGGTTATAGGTATTATCTTACCCTTGTTGATAATTACTCTAGGGTTATATGGTTGTATCTTTTGAAGTTTAAGAGTTAAGTGTTTGATGCCTTTAAAGATTTTCACAAGCTAGTTACAAATCATTTCTCTACTAAAATACACACTAAGGTCAGACAATGGCACTAAGTATACATCCAATATCATGTCAAATTATTTAAGCACACATGGCATTATGCACCAAACCAGTTGTGTGGGTACACCAGAACAAAATGGTGTAGCCGAGAAGAAGAATCAGGATTTATTGGGAAAACCCCGATCCCTAATGTTTCAAATGAATGGTCTCAAGGAATCCTTGCAGCCACCTACATAATTAACAGGTTGCCAAGTAGTGTGTTGAACTCTAGGTCTCCATATGAAGTCATGAAAGGAAGAACCATTGATCTATGACACTTCAGAATATTTGGATGCATTGGTTTTGTTTATGTTCAAGCTGCTCACTGAGACAAATTGGAACCTCGAGCAACCAAGTGTGTGTTCATGGGCTATTCTAGCTCTCAGAAAGGTTTCACATCATTTGAAAATTTGCAAAACCCCAAGGAAAGGAAGGAGAAAGATTTTTCGTGTACCACAATCATTATTTAATTAACTAGTTTTTCTTAATTATTAGTTTATTAAATAATGAGCTAAATTTAAAAATTTAATTAATTCAAATGATGTGGTTATCCATATCAAATACCACCTAAGGTGGTATGAAAATATGGTACAAAAAACATGATATGAATAATATTACTCATTTCATATTTGTTGGAGTAATGGAGTTCAGCCACGTCATAAGTATCCGTCAAACGACATGAGGACATTGGTGCAGTTTCCTTAAAAACGACATAAGAACACTTTCCTACAAAATTTAGGAAATTAAAAAGAAAAAATGTAGACAAATTAGAAACTGTCTTTCAAATTTCGTGGAAATATCTAAAAAACCTAAAAGAATATTTACTAATTCCTATATATATACCTACACGATCCATCTATTTTGTTTACTTTTGCAAAACTTGGCAACTCGTTCTGCTTGTTGTCAGTTCACACTTCTTCGTGTTCGTGTTTCGTGATTTGTGTGCGTACGTAGGTAGACGGAAGAGCGAAGATCCGACGATAATGGTGAAGTCAGCGTCCAACAGAGAGCGCGACGAACAGAAACCGCGTCGACCCAAAAGTTCCACGAAGCTGCATCACCGAACATCGTTCAAGAAGTCGAAACCAAGCAAGGGTTTCGAGGGTTTTGAGGATGACGTGATGTTTTATATCGAGGAGTTTATGCCGGAGGCTTCAGAACAATCTACTTCTACTTCTTCCACGGTGATCGATCCAGTTAGTGCTGCCGCTGCTGATGATATCGATAACTTCTTGGCCGACAGCATTGATTTCGCGGCGGAGGGTGATTTTGGCGAGGTTAATTTTGATGGGTCCGACGATGATCTTCTTACTAATTACTTGACGGCATTGTTTGATGATTGCAACGACGTTCCAGATTCGGTACAGAGCTGCCAAGATGTTGATGAGCTGCTGGAATAATATCTTGATTTCCCCTCAGTTGGCGTGAATTATTAATTAGGTTTTGTTTTAATTAAGGGGTAGTTTTATGTTGATAGTTCATACTACCACTAATACTGTTTTTATCCAATTCTTAATTAGTTTTTTCCTATCTTGTACGGGCTTGATAAAATCTTGGTTAATTTTTTTTTATTTGTTTCCACATCTTTACCTACTGCAAAACACGCAAATTCTTGAAAACCAATGAAAAATACATGTACGAAATAATAAATTTTACATCTAACAAGTGAATAGGGTTGTGATTTATGGCGTAAATTCTTTACAAGAATTAATCCTCTAATGCAATCTCTAAAAATGTATGGAAAGGCTAAAATATGTTTGTGTGATCAATGGATGTAGAAGCTTGATTTTGATCAAACAGACATCACAAGATTATTTTCTGTGGTATGTGGTAATTTTGTTTTGGTGGTAAGGAACTAGCTCGTGTGAGTGGGGCTTGATAATTTTTCACAAATATGATAAAGAATCTGGAAAGTGCTTTTTGAATTTGTGGTGTGGCTGGAGGAAGTTGAAGAAACTAAAGTTGGAAACTGCAATGCAAGTTGGCAGAGCTTTGGAATTTCTTATTGGTTTTCTTTCTCTCGGTGCTTTTAATCAGAAGTTGTGTGAGCAACCCACTTGAAGCTTCGGACACCAATTGTATGCACATTGGAGCTTTCTTCACAAATTAGTTACAATTATACACAACAAGAGATAATGCTTTAGATCCACTTATCTCTTTGTAGAATAATTTGACTTTTCTCTTGCATAATTGAACTTCTGATTCATACTTGTAAAAGTTTGGTGGCTACAAATGTCACAACTTCAAGGTGCGTTGCACATATGTACTTATGTAGGAGGTGTGACTTGAAGTTACTCTTGTTTTTTAACTGTCGTATACTCAAGTAGAGTATGTCAAGACTTTTATGAATCCAGTATTTTCACCTCAATAGTCCTTGAATATTGGTACAAGTCAGATGATTATTGAAATGCATGTTAAATATTCATAAGATAATAGAAGATTTTTCAGTTTCTTAAGAAGTATCAAATTGAACTAAAAAAATAATTTAAAACAAAATTATTAGTCCCTAGATTCAATAGCACGATGGCCTTAAAATTTTATAGGGAACTTCTACATCCAACATAAATTTTAAATTTTAAGCTAAAATTTGATTTTAAAAGAGAATATATTATTGGATACTCTAAAGGCTAAATTACATCTATACTCTCTGAAATTCAAACTTGATCTCACTTACTATCTGAAACTCAAACTTGGAGATAGACTAAATGCTTAATTACATCTATACTCCCTTTAATCCCCGAAATTGTCCAACTCTATCAAATAATAATTTAAAACTCTCGCGTTGGCAAGAACATGACCAACTTGTATTGAGTAGCCCCAAAAATTAAGAGAGGATCCTTGCTGAATCCTCTAATCATATTCATTCATCGTACATCATGCGGCCAGTTTTTTTTAGTATTGTTTATATTCAATTTTAAATAAAAAAATTTACAACGATTTCTAATCACACGATGTACGATGAACGGATGTGATTGGA